GAAAAGGAAATAATCATGGTCTAACAAAAGTAAAGGGAAGCAAAGTTCTAACAAAACAAAGGACAATTAATGAACTCAAATCTGACATTCGATCGACTGCTCAGCCCTGGTTCTGCTCGGCTTCAAACTGGGCCATCGTGTATACCCGTGCTCGTCCTCCTTCGTTAAACCTCGGTTGGGCCTGTTGTTGCTGCTGCTGAAATGGTGGGGGTTGCCGCGCATTCTGCTGTGGGGGCGGTGGGGGAAGCTGCTGCTGATGAGGGTAAGGCGGCTGCTGCTGATAAGGTCCCTGCTGCTGCCTCCTCGGCTCAGGACACATATGGGCAAAGTGACCGATGTGCTGACAGTTGTAGCAGGTCTTCTTAGTAGCTCGACACTCTCCGTTATGGTTCCTGCCACAATTAGAACATGCTCGAATAGGCCCAAGGGTGGCGAGGCGGTCGTCATGCCTATCTGAGCCTCCCCGTTTACCTTTTCGGTCATCCCGGTGGGAATCAGCCGTCCTTTTTCCCGAACTAGAGCTAGGCGGCGCGGAGGAGATGGGCTGAGCATATTGAACCACAGCCTGAGACGGCTGGGAAGCGGAAGGATAGGGTGGAATGGAAACCACCGGAACGAGGCAGCTCTCCACCTCCTGAGCTCGGCTCACGGTATCAGCATAGGACATCGGTCCATGACTACCCACCAGCTCGCGAATCCTCTGGTTGAGGCCCTTGAGGAACTTCCTGGCCTTCTTAGCATCGGTATTAATCGCATCACCCGCAAAAAGGCACATACGGGTGAAGGTGCGGATGTACTCATCCACCGAGGAACTGCCCTGCTGCAGGTGATAGAATTCGTGCTCCATCCTGTCCCAAAAGCTCTGAGGAAGGAACTTGTTGCGCACCATCACCTTCATTTGCTCCCAAGTCAAAGCATGGAGCTCCGCCTCGGGCCTCCGAGCCCAAAGCTCAATCCACCAATCTGAGGCGTCTTCCTTCATCTGAAACGCCGCAAGAGACACGCGCTGACGGTCAGGGAGGGGGAGTACGGCAAAGATCTTGTCCAACTCCTTCATCCACTCAAGCACAGCTGTGGGGTTCTCTGTGACGGTCAGGGAGGGGGAGTCGGCGCATTCATGCGCTGAAACTGCACAATCAGCTGCGTGAGATCCATGGCCG